TCAATCATCATCTGTGATGGTCGTACCTTCTTAGCATCCTTTACAAGCTGATTGTTCACTTATCTGATGCCCTACATGCCTTTCGTTCCCTGGGCTGAGCTCCACTGGACAGCTGTGCCTCATAGAACATAGTTCAGTTTAGTGATTAAAGCAGAGTGGTCCCTCATTTGAACGCTGAATCTGCCTTTAACTAGTTGTGAGCTAGTTATCTAACTACTCTACATCTCAGTTTACTCGTCTGTGAAGAGGGAGGATAACAGTACTTTGCAGGGTGGTTTTGAGAGTTAAAATACATAGTACATGTTATAGAGAGAGTTTACGGTACACTACAAAAAAGGGAAATGATCAATAAATACTAGTGATAAAAATGATTTGTTTCTGGAACTTTCCTGCTGGTCACCTTTCCTCCAAACAGCCTCATTCTCTCCCTTAATTTGGCTATTATGTTTCTATTAATGAATATTTTTTAGGTGGCAACAATTTTTTTTTGTTGTTGCTATTCAAAGATATAAAATTCTTAAGTCTCCAGAGAAGAGCTTGGAGGCTCAAATCAGTTCTTATAAGTAACTAGTCAACCTTAGTGTGTCTCAGGCCTGCTGATTCCCCATGCACTGTTTTCCTATTGCCTCATCCCTGAACATTGGAAAACTATCTTGCCAGCAGTCAGCATAGTTTGGAGACTAGTTTTGTTTTTACTAGTCACTCCAAACCATCATATTAAAGGCATAAATAAAATAATATGATGGTTCACATCTGGCTGCATCGTTAGAATAAACTGAGAGATTGTAAATCAATATTTAGCATAATTACTGAGATATGGCAGGTTTGGATGCAAATAAAAAAGAATGAAGGATGTAATATAAAATCATTTATACAATATCAGTTCAATCACCCTCTATAAAGTGGCAGGCAGCAGAGATTCATGGTTTAATTTTAGTTGGCAAAGAGTTTTCTTATAAAGGCTTGGAAAATAATTGACCCTTATGTCAATTGCTCTTCTGTATTGGTCGTTCTTCAAGCTTCCTCAAGAGGTTTTTTCCCTGTCTCCCTGGGAACTTTTTCTTCTAATGCAATTTTGTAGCACACTGCAAAGGCACTTATTTGACAAAACCAAAACAACAAAACTAACATTGTCAGCAATGTGTGCTCATCCACACTGAGCATTCTGCATTAAAAAAAAAGTCCAAATATATAAAGCATGCTTTTGGGTCTGTTTTGTTATAGATTATTTTCAGTTATTATCCTGAAGCAGAAGAAATGTGATTCTTACACAGGGATTTTTTTTTAAAGGTTATAGGTCAAGGAATTGGACCAATATATTTTGTTTTTATTAACTGATTAATCATTCATTCAACCAGTTTTGGCTGAGTGTTTACCGTGGGCATGGCTCCATTCTACAACTTGTGAGAAGCATACAGGAAAGAATCTTATATGAATCTAAAGGGAGTGATTAAGCATGGGTGAAAGAAATTCTGGTGGAAGGTAGCAAGACAAGGACCCTAGGAAAGGGATAGGGACAATTTTATGGGAACTCCTCTGACATTCTGCATTTTCTTTTTGAGGACTTTGATCTGAGTTTACTGATGAATCATGCCTACTTCTAGAACCTCAGTTTCCTGAATATAAAATGAGGGAGTTGACTAGACCCTTTCACATATGAATTTCTATAATCCAATGATGTAATAGCTCCAGGTAAATCTATTTCCAGGCCAGGAAACATAGATCATCCACTTCAGGAAGCGGTCACAGCATTTTACTTCGTGGTGATAATAATTGTAAAGAGAAGAAGATTGAATTCTCCAGGGTCAGGCATCTTTTAAGGGGTAGAGTTAGAATTTGACCTCAAGCCTTCTGGCTCTAAATCTCATCCTTTTTTTAAAACTTTGGGCAGGAATTGTTAGAGATTTATTTGCCTTAAATAATTACAGGAAAATCATTGCGCCTCTTAAGAGTTGAGGTGTCTGGTCACGTACTTCTTAAATTTTCTCACTCTTAAATAACAGACATGCAGTTTTTAATGATAAAAAGCTTTTCCTGGTTATTAGTGTTGCTTTCAGATATTTTATTTGAGGAATTTGTTTCAATTTAGATTTTATTAACTTCTTTGCTAAGACTCTTACTGAGATTCAAAATCTTCAACTTGGATGGCTTGAGTGTGATGAGTTTCTTCGTAGAGCGGGAATTCGGTGGATTCTTGCAAATCTTTTCTGATGGACAGTAAGAGGCGTTTGGGTTGGTGGATGGAGCTCCTTCCTCATGAACTGTAACATGAAAGCAATCAAGCCACAGTATCCTGTGATTTGTTTAAATTGCTTTCCCAGTACAAGCACTTAATATGTGAGTTGTAGAAACATTTTATCTGCCTGGAAGCCTGCCTTAGCAGTGGAAATTTGATATAGACCCTCCTTGGACACTATCAGACTCTACAAATTGCAGATTTCGTAACCTCTGAAATGCAAAGCACCTCTTCATTAGGCTTCTCATCCTTAGTAATAAAACTTTGCTCATTCACCTAAGTCTCACTTGATTCTGTTAAGCATAAAATAGTGTAATCAGTTTTTCCAGATTGGTAGGTGAGTTGAACCTTTCCATTTGTGGCAATGTAAAGAGATATCTTGCATAACATTTCTTAAAATGCTGCTGAAAAATGTCAGTGTATTTGTTGGAGTCCTTATGTTTTTTTTTTATTAGGGATAGGAAACAGTTGAATAAGAATATGAGCCCCTTTGGTCAAATACTACATACAAAAGATGAATTTCTGGATTAAAAGGATGTAAAGCATACATGTTGGCTCATATAATGAATCAGTTTATTTATCCCATATGATGTATCTTGCCACTTATTTTTAAATTTAGTCATTGGTGTGCTGGTGAACTGGCTTTTCAGAAAGAAAGAAGAGCCCTGATTTGTAGTGTTTTCCAATTTCTGTGGTGTAAATACTCCCAAGCTGGCCAATTTCAAGCTGACAATGGCTTGCAAAATTCCTGAACATTTTAACAATTGTCTTATGAGAGCCAGTATAGGCAAGCTCCAAAACACCACTGTGAGTGCTTTTTAAGTATACTTTTATATGTTTTCTAATTGTTTTATGCATAAAATCCTTTTCTCTAACCTCATTTTGAGGCTTTTAATGGTGGGGACCCTTCCATATTCTTCTATATGCCTTCTTTTTTCTCTTTCCCAGGTGTGTCTAAATATGTGTAGTAATAAACAAGTGTGGAAATCTATTTCATTAATACTAAATGATTTTTTTTCACGTTTCACATTACTAAAATCATTTTCAGGTTACAGTCAACGGTATGTCATAGTATAATTGGTAAAACTTTCTTCTTTCTTAGTGTTCTATATAATAATTATTTGAATTTAATGAAATGTGTTAAGTGCTGAATAGATGGTGTTTGACATGAATATAATTATGTCCTATGGGATAATCTGTCTTTTCACAAATTAGATTCACCTAAAGCAAGTTACTTCTCTATTATTATCCTTAGGAGAAAAAAATGTAAGCTGTTTGAAATGCTCCTTGGTGTACCTCTTGTTCTTTTGTCTTAGTGCTTACGTGGGGCATATCAAAATTAGATCAGCAAAGTAGGTCCCAACTTGTTTTGTACATCCTGGTGTGGCTCCAAGAACTGCCTTCTTCCACCTGGGAAGTGTACTTTTTGAAAGTGGGGATCATTGGCATGATAAGTCATTGGAAAATATACATCATAGCCCAAACACCATCACATTCAGTGTCCAGTGTTTCTGCTTCCTGACATTTGGATATAGAAAGACCTTGTGGTAGGCAGGATAATGGCCTCTAAATGATGTCCATGTCTTAATCCTCAGGACATGTGAATATGTTACTTTACATGGCAAGGGAGGGATTAAGGTTGCAGATGGAATTAAGGTTGCTTAGCAGCTGATCTGAAAATAAGAAGATTATTCTGGATTAATCTGGGTGGACCCAATGTAAGTAAGCACAAATGTCCCTAAATGGGAAAGAGGGAGGTAGAGGAACCAGAATCAGAGAGATGGCATCATGAGAAATTCTTGACTGGCTTTGGCAATGGAAGGGGGCTAGGAGCCAAGGAATGTAGACAGGGAATGTGGGCAGCCTCTAGAATGTGGAAAAGGAAAGAAAAAGAATCCTCCCTCAGAGCCTCCAGAAGGAATGCAGCCTTGCCGACACCTTAATTTTGACCTAGTGAGACCTGTATGAGACTTCTGACATCCAGAACTATAAGATAATAAATTTGTGTTGTTTCCAAGCTACTAGCATGTGATAGTTTTGTACATAACAATAATAAACGAATACAAATTTCATTAATTCAGATGGGCTAAGTCACAAGAATTTGAGCTAAATAAAACTGGTTGTGTTAAAAACATTCTTTATGTTCTCTCTGAACAAGTGTGCCAGGTAATTTGTAGTATAAAGTAGATTGCAGAAATATATATCTTTAAGAGAGTAAGATGATTTAAAGATTTCAGTACATTGTTTTTATGCTAATGATATAGCTAATTATAAATGACAGGTATGTATTTGCTAATTTTCATCTGAAGAATTTTTATTTAAAATTTTCTTATCTCTGTACTAGAAATTGGTAGAATTATATCTCTGTGAATATTTAATGATTCACAATTTTCCATTATTATACTTAGCATCCTGGTCCCCACCTTAGCAAGCCCTTATAAGTGTGTTTCACCGTGATTTGGTGTATGTTATCAGGAACAAGATTTAGGTTACATAATCTTTGGCAAGTGACTTAACCTAAGTCTTGTTTTCCTCATCTACAAAATGGAGACAGTTATGCTTTCTGTTATGGGTCTCATGTTTGTATACTCCTCAAATTCATATGTTGAATTCACAATCCCCAATATGATGCTATTTGGAAATGGGGCTTTGGGGAAATAGGTCATGAGGATGGAGCCCTTGTGATGGGATTAGTGCCTTTATAAGAAGAGACATCAGAGAGCTTGCCTCTCTCTTTCTCTCTGCCATGTGAACAAATGAGAAGATGTGGCCATCTGTACACCAGGAAGAGGGCCTTCAACAAGAATCTGACCATGCTGTCCCCCTGATGTCAGACTTCCAGCTTCCAGAACTGTGAGAAATGAACGTCTGTTGTTTAAGCCACCCAGTCTATTTCTGTTACAAAGCCTGAATAGACTAAGATAGAAATTGGTACCAAGAAGTGGGGTGCTGCCATAACAAATACCTAGAAGTATGGAAGCAGCTTTGGAACTGGTAATAGGCAGAAGCTGGAAAAGTTGTGAGATGCAAAACCTTTTTTCTCCAGCTTTATTGAGATATAATTGACATATAACATTGTGTAAGTTTAAGGTGTACAATGTAATGATTTGATACACATATATATTGCAAAATGATTTCCACAGTAAGTTTAGTTAATGCTACCACAGCCTCAAATAATTACCAATTTTTTTGTGGTGAGATCATTTAAGATCTACGTTCTTAACAGCATTCAAGTGTGCAATACAGTGTTGTTAACTGAAGTCACCATGCTGTACATTAGATTCCCAGAACTTATTCATCTTTTAATCAGAAGTTCGTACCCTTTGATCAACATCCTATTTCTCCCAGCCTTGAGCCCCTGGCAGCCACCATTCTATTGTGTTTATATGTTTAGATTTTTTAGATTCCACATATAAGTGAGATCATACAGTGTTTGTCTTTCACAATCTGACTTATTTTACTTAGCAGAATGCCTTCAAGTTCTGTTTATGTCACAAATGGCAGGATTTCCTTATTTTTTATGGCTGAATAATATTCAAGTATGTGTGTGTGTGTGTGTGTGTGTGTGTGTGTGTATGTGTGTGTATCACATTTTCTTTACCCATTTATCTGCTGATGGATACTTATGTTGTTTCCATGTCTTGATTATTGTGAATAATGCTGCAATGAACATGGGGCTGCAAATTCCTTTCTGAGATAGTAATTTTATTTCCTATATATATGTACTCAGAAGTGGGTTGCTGGATCATATGGGAGTTCCATTTTTAATTTTTTGAGAAACCTCCATACTGTTTTCCATAGTGGCTACACCAATTTAAATTCCCACCAACAGTGCATAAGGATTTCCTTCGCTCCACATCCTTGGCAAAACATGTTATCTCTTGTCTTTTTGATAATAATCATCCTAACAGGTGTGAGGTAATATTTCATTGTGGTTTTGATTTACATCTTCCTGATGGCTAACGATGCTGAACACATTTTCACGCACCTGTTGACCATTTGTATGCCTTCTTTGGAAAAATATCTATTCAGATGTTCTACTCATTTTCTAATCTGATTATTTGGGTTTTTGTTTTTGCTATTGAGTTGTATGAATTCTTTATATATTTTGGATATTAACCACTTATCAGATATATGGTTTGAAAATATTTTCTCCTGAAGGAACTTTTAAGGTGATTCTGAAAAGGGACCTGGAGAGGAAGCATCCATCTTCTTACACAGCACATCATGTATAGAACATGGGTAGAAATATGGATGGTAAAGGCCATTCTGATGGAGTCTCAGACAGAAATGAGGAATATGTTATTGGAAACTGGAGGAAAGGTGATCCTTGTTGTAAAGTGGCAAAGAACTTGGATGAATTGTGTGAGTGTTCAAGTGTCTTGTGGAAGGCAGAACAATTGAGGCATAGACAGGGAGGTTAAGTCACGTGCTCCCAGTTGTGGAGCCAGTAATGGTGGAGCCAGGACTGGACTGGAGCTGGAGTCTTGACCACTACATCCCTCTCCCTCCACAGAAGTAGACAGTGTGGGGCCCAGCATGCTGGGAGAGAAGGTTGGGGTTCAAGAGATTCTTCTATCAGTATGGTCCAGGAAACCTTACCCTCAGCATGTTTTCCTTGGACTCACTCATGTTGAGCAATAATCTTGTTTTGGAGCTTTTCCATTTTAGGAAGATGGAAGAGCTGTGACAGTTAGATATTACTCACATTCCAGAGGCCTGAAAGCAAATGAATGAGACTACGTATGTGGAAGAGCTTTGTAATCTGCAGAATGGGATAGAGATACTATACTCCTTCCCCAGCTGAAGGCGCAGCGTCTGACATGGGGACACTCAGTAACTATTTGTGAAAGAATTAACCTATGACACAGGAAGAAATCAAGTACACACACACACACACACACACACACACACACACACACACACACATACACTGTATGTGCATGCATACCTCCCCACTGAATTGGGAGCCCCGTGAGTCTGTGCCATCTCTGGATCCCTGGTGCTGTACAGAATGCCTTGAGAATAGTACACAGTAAATGTTTTCTGATTAATATGATAGTGCCTTTCCTGTTAGTCTGGGTTTCTATGGAATACTCTTTCTCTCTTTGGGGGCAAGTGGAGGGCTTGATAGGAATTGACCTTATTAGTTCAGAGCCCCAATTACGTCATCTACATGGTGGGTGGCAGGGGTTCAGGGGTCAAGCGTTGAAAGGCTATAGCTGGGAAGGCGGCTCTCCCAGTGACTCAGCAGCTGCTCCTTAATACTCAGGCACTGCAGGGACAGGGAAGTGTGGGTTGAAGTGGGGGAAATGGGAACCGTCACAGAGATAGGGTTACTCTGTTTCCTGGAGGACAGTTTTTTCCAGTGCGTTGAGCCGGAAAAGAGGTCTTTCTCTACCCAGTGAACAGGGGTTGGTAAATAAACTTGTCTATCATATAAAGAAGCCCAACGAGTTGGGCTGGTCTGGCCAATTAGTTATGGGTCTTTGTGTGAACAGCATGGCTTTTGAGTGGTGTGGTCACAGTGGCCGGGTGGTCGCTGTGACCAATGTGGTTGTTGATATTGTGGATTGGAACAGGAGAGGATCACAGGACTGAGGCAGCATGACCACGAAGTCCAGCTTTGGCAACAGATGCAGGCAGTAACTTACAAGGGGAGTAGAATACTCAAGGTGCAACACAACCCAAAGCCCAGGTGAGGCGACCTCATCTGGCCCAGGGTTGTGCTGAGTGCAAGGAAGAATGTGCGTGGTGAGGAAAAACAGTAGCAGTGAGTGGAGAGGAAAAGCAGAAAGATGAGAAGAGCTCTACTAAATCAAAATGTGGCTGGGTCAGTAAAGCTCTTGTAATTGAGTACATGCAAAGGGAGGCTGCAAACCCATACCAAGCACCCTTGAAGAGGAGCAGAGTGGGAAGGATGTGACAGATCATGGTTGTGACTGAGCCACAGGATTATTACTGTCTCCCTGGGAAGGAAGCTTGATGGTCAGAATGAGGTTGACATATGTAGACTGTGGAAATGTTTGCATTAGCTGTTGTCTCAGTTTGTTCAGGCTGCTATACAGAATGCCATAAACTGGGTGGCTTAAACCACAGAAATTTATTTCGTACAGGTCTGGAGGCTGGTAAGTTCAAGATCAAGGCACCAGCAGATTCAGTGTCCGGTGAGAACTCACTTCCTGGTTCACAGATGGCCATTTTCTTCCTGTGTCCTCACATGGTGGAAGGAACATGGGAGCTTTCTGGAGTCTCTTTTATAGGGTGCTGATCCCATTCATGAGGGCTCTAGCCTCATGACCTAGTCACCTCCTGAAGGCCCCATCTCCTAATACCATCACATGGGGTGATAGGGTTTCAACCTATGAATTTTGGGGGGAAACATATATTCAGTCCATAATAACCATTTTACTAAACCTGTATATAATTTAGTATAGTTTCTTGTTAGCAAACAATTCATTTATCTAAAGTTTCAGTTAAAAACATTAAAGCATTGTCTGAAAAAGAAATGGCTGAGCCTGGGGAGACCCAGCTGGTTATTATTCATAGTCATGGAAAAAGATGCTTTAAAAATGGCATCCCAACCAGGGACCTTCAATCTTTCCTAAACAGGAAGAGGTGAGAAAATCATTGTGTGCAAAGATTTCAACTCGCCTGGATCTATTCCACTTGTCAGTAAGACTGGAGGGGCATCACACACACAGACTCATTCAATAGGAGCCTGAGAGAGCAGAATTAGAATGAGGTGGTGCCAAAGCTGGCTAAGCTTTGTTATTAAGACCTAAATATTAAAAGTGTTTTAAAGTTTGAATTAAAAGAATGGGATATTTTACAGTCAGCAGGGAAGTGGAGGTCCACGTTATCTTAACATTTTGACCCTACTACATTTAATCAGTGTTTTAGCACTCATAGCTATTCCAAAACTATTGATTTTTTAAAATGTGAGCCTGAAAAACAGACAAAAGACTATATATGATATCAGTCTAATGATTTATCTTAAGAATCTGTGAACTGTGGAATCATGATTGTTAGGACTGAGAGACACCTGCTCACCTTTCTGAAACGAGTTGCTGAAAAGGTATTCTGAGATTCAGAAAGGGTAAGGGATACAATGTTGACCTTTTGGAGACAGGAAACCTTTGATGAACTATAGGACACCAAGACGGTTCATTTAAAAGATGGTTTCAAAGCATTATCTGGGGCTGGTTTTGTATGTGCATTACTGAAGCTCTCAGGTTGTCTTTTTACGTAAACCCAGTGAAATAATGGTTTCTGCAGCTGTTCATGGGTCTGCAACTCTCATGTGGCACCTTGGCTTCTGCGCTTTGTAACTGCTTTCAGTCTCTTTTGTGAACAAAATTAAACTTTCCTTACCATTTGACAGCATGGAACTTTCCTGAGATGGGCATTAAGGAGAAAAGAGACAGGAAAAGGTCACCAATACCATCTCCATGTAATTAAGGCAGTGCAAATAGCTAAATAAAATTGTTGCTAATGATATTTACTTGATTCTATGAGTCCCTGTTCTTGTTTCAGAATAAGTTAGGGATCAGCTGCTCATGAAATGTATAGATTATAAATCTTTGTGGCAGGTAATAGGGTGTGCATTTGTTTTAGGACAACTTTATGTTAGGACCATGTTTAGGCTTGCGTGTTTTCTTTCTGTCCCTCTGTCTCTTCGTGTCTCTCTATATACACACACTCACATTTATATGTGTATGTGTGTGTGTATATATATATATGTATACACACACACATACACATATGGATGCACATGCATGCATACATATATACATACATGTATATGTATATGTGTGCCTGCTTTTGTAAGATAATAATTAATGAGGGATAGGTTAAAAATTAGAAAAAGTAGTTTCAAACTTTGTTTTATAGACTTATATTGACCATGTAACCAAGGAATCAATTTGTCCTCTTTTAAATGAAAGGCTGTAAAAATCAGCAGTAATCTATGAACTTTATTTTTTTGGTTCTGGATGTGGAATTAATGAAATTGTCTGTATATATATGTGGAAGTTAACGCTTCTAAACGGTGAGCTGAAGCTTAGTTTGAAATTTATACCAGCAAGAATGAGTCCCAAACAAAATTGTATCTTCATGTGTTGAACACATCGTTATTTAGGTACATAATAAATAAGTAAGGATGCTGAGAATAATGTGCCATCCTGGCCTTCAAATCTAGCAGAGGTATTGGAGGAGGTCATTGAAAGGATGTGACCACCTCAAGCCGGACCTGGGCAATCAGAGGCTCCTTACCCTCTCCCCTGTCCTTGGAATGCATATGTTCTGCCCACCATTCTCACAGTGGGGACCATTTTCAAGGGTGCAGACTTAAGAGAGCAGTATGTTGTGGAGATCATTGGGACCTTGTACATGACTGAACCCAGTTAAGGCTTCTATATAAACTTTTAAGATTCTGATGGGCAGATGCAGAGAGCAACTCATCTTGCAGCTGCCCAAACAAGCCTCTTAAGGAAGTTCCTTTGCTTATTAATCCTGCCATTTACCAATCTGGAGTGGCTGCCTTTTTTTTTCACTCTTCCCTTGCCCTCTCTGTGTGTATGCCAGTTTGCAAACCAACAGGAGTAGACTAAGAAATAAGCAGTAACATATCGTGGATGTGTAATAGAACTCAAGGTCTTAGAGGAACAGAGGGGAGGGTAACACAGCACACCCAGTTTGTATCAGGGGATGTTTCTTGGGAGAAGAGATGCTTGTGCATCACAGATGTTCTCCATTAGCTAATATCTGCTGAGGGAAAGGACTTCCCAGTAGTGGGACTGTACATCGTGTCCTGAAGACAGAAGAGAATATGTTTAGGGAGTGCAAGGAAGTTTGAGTGACTAGAATTTAGGGTGTGTAACCAGAGGCTGAAGTGTCCTCTGAGGAAGCTTTCCATCAGGCTTCCTCCACAAAGACTTTCTTGACAACTGGAGTTGGTGGTCTCCTTCTCTGTGTCCCCACGATTTTTTGCATGTTTCTATTATTGGATTTTTCATAACCAACTTAATTGTTCATGTCTGATTTCCATACTTGTCTGTGGGATAAAACAGCATCAGGGCTGTCTCCCGGTCCTTATCATCAAACCTAGAAAACAGTAGGTGCTCAATTTTTTGCGGTACGCGGCCCTCTCACTGTTGTGGCCTCTCCCGTTGCGGAGCACAGGCTCCGGACGTGCAGGCTCAGCAGCCATGGCTCACGGGCCCAGCTGCTCCGTGGCATGTGGGATCTTCCCGGACCGGGGCACGAAGCCATGTCCGCTGCATTGGCAGGCAGACTCTCAACCACTGCGCCACCAGGGAAGCCCTCAATACTAGTTTTTTAAACACATATGTAAATGACTGGCTGGCTGGATGAATGAACGATTATGCACAGTTTGGGGATGAGAGTCAAGAATTGCCTTGGTTATCAAGCAACACTTCATAAAACCTTAATGGTTTCATTTTTCTGTTCCAGATTACTTGCAGCATATAATAGTCTTACGGATAAACACCTGGCTGGATATTTTAACAATACAAGGATAAGGCGGCATCTTTTGAGATCAGGGCTGGTAAGATTTGGTCTCATTTCTACCTGCCCTCTTGTTTCATTAAATCCAATAATTCCCTATCTTTTCTGGTTTCCTCTTTGAGCTTATCGGTGACATCTTTTCCCTTCCCTCATTTTAGAAAAATTACTTCCTTTCCAAAGCTCTGATTTATCTATTTGAGGCTGTGTTTCAAAAGATAGGAAGAGAGGTCATGATGGCTGTTAAGGCAACTTATAAATTATTGAGGAAAATCCCTATGAGTTTTCAACAGCATATGTCATTTGTTTATTTACCCACTCATTTATTCAACCCATATTTATTGAACATATTGTATAAACCAGGAACTGTTAGGGAGTAAGGATAGAAAAGACTTTACTGTCTTCAGGAAAAAAATATTGTTTTTAATAATCACAGGATATGGTGTGGAAGACATGAACAGTTCAAAATTTTCCTTTAAATTTTTAAAAACTCTTTCATTTCATGTGATGGTTTATTGATACATTAGTGTCTTTCGTTAGCTCCAAAACTATCGTTTCCAGAAAATTTCCACTTCTCTAAATGTCTATAATGTAAAACCTTTAAAAAACACTGTAGTTTTCCCTTCAAAGTAAGGGGTGTGGTTATAGAAAGTGTGACTAACAATTTTAGCTGTTTACTTTCTTAAAACACTGTGGGTTTCCTTAACTATTGTTGCCATGGTGTTGAAAGGATATGCATTGCATTTCTAATTGTTGTTTATGTGCTTGGCACTCTGTCTGGGTAGTTCTCAGAGAGCCTGCTTTTTGTCTCCTGGGGCTTTGTTATCAGACACACCTGGCTGAAATCTGCCATTTACAAGACAGAATGTTCAGGAAAACACTTAACTTTCTCAGCTCCAACTTCTTCAGTTGAAGGAAGACAATAAAGATCATGATAGGCCACCCTCAAGACTGTTGTAGCAACTAGAGATGTGTAATGAATGGTTGTTGTAATTGTTGTGGGTACCATTAACCCTACTTCTTCTGATACAAGTCTGTGAGCTTCATATATAAATGGGAAGGACTTTGTATTTACTTATCAACGTCATTAACAAGCACTTATTGAACACTGATTATGTGCATGGCAACGCAAACAGGAAGGACACAGCCCTTTCTCTAGAGCAGTTCAGATACAGTCTCTGAATCAGGAGTGTTCAGCATCGCCTGGGAACTTGTTAGAACATGCAAATTCTAGAGCCCCAGCCCAGATCTGTTGAGTCAGAAACTGTGGAGTGGGGTCCATCAGTCTTTTTCAACTTGTTTTCCAGGTGATTCTTCAGATGCTGGCTCAAGTTTAAGAACTTCTGCCCTATAGGAGCTTCCAGTCTAGTTGGGGAGATTAGATACTCCCAGAGGAGAAATATCAATGACAAGTTACTTGCTAAGGGAGGGGCAGTGCAGGAAGTTCTCAACAGTTTTTCCTGGTTGGATAGTCATGACATGGACAACACATTTCAAAGACTGTAACTGAGTTATTTGTAATTCCAAGCACACTTTCTATAACCACACTGCTTTCTTCCATTAGAAAATGCATTCATAAAAAAGATGATCAACAATCAATCACTCGTAGCACAACTCTAGCTGATCTTGATACTCCAATATGTTGCAACAAAAGTGCTAAAAAACTAGTTATCAAAATTAAGAAATATGTGGACTTGAATTAGGTATGAAAAGAAGAGCAGGGTTTAAATAAGTGAAAAGGAAGATGAACATTCCAGGAAGGATAACATCCTCAGTTTAAGGAAGATGTAGAAAAATAGAACAAATATGCCCATAGGAAGGAATAAAAGAAAAACAAGTAAATAAAATTCAGAAACTATCACTCCTGGGACTTGCAGTGATGTCACTTGAAACCAATCTGAAATACTTTATATCTGCAGTACTGTATAATCTGAATCACAGCAAATTAAATTACATTCTGGGCTAGAGAGTGAAAGAAGAAAAGCAGTGTGAAAACAAAGTAATGAAACCAATTATTTTAAAAACAAATTGATGAGATCCTCTGTAGCTTACATGTTTTGCCCTTCAAAGTATTTCCTGTGAGATCATCAGTCCTGTGATCACTGCTTCTATTCACTGTTTCAAGGTAGCACCCCACGCCTTCTTCCCAAAAGTGTTCAAAAAAAGAAATGAAAAGAACACCTGGGTTCCATTAAGGGAAAATTGTTACTCTAATGAAAACCTTGTTTTAAACGTCAAGTGCACCACCTGTATGTGTTTTCACAATGATGGGTATATGAAACTGCCTTTCTCTTTTTTTTCCTTATGAAACATTCATTAAAAGTGAAAGTTTATCAGCCATAGCACTACACCTCATTAGCCTTAAAAGACGTTGCTTCCTTCTCTGTCTGATCAACTGACGGTCCATCTCTCTCTCATAGGGAACTAACAATGCATTTTCTGCTTTGTATTTCTATGTATGTTTTATTTATTCATGACAGATCACAAGAAATGGGAGGATACTTTCTGAAAAGGAATACAAACTAAATATCATGAAAAGGGATCACCAAAAATATATCCGGGAGTGCTTAGCCCAGGCTATTTTCCATAAGGTTCTTGATATGGAGGTACAAGTATTAACTATTTTCTTTACAACTGATATTTATTAATATGATAATTAATAATAATTTCTGTACCCAGAAGCAGGGGAATTCTTCCTATATTTCATTAAAAAAGAATGGAACAAGGTGACCTGAGAAATACTCTATATCTCTCTAGGTAGTGAGGAGATAAGACACTGAAGTAAGCATTTCTTCATTTTAGTTAGGGAAAAATATGGACATCATTGTATATTTTGTGATATTTAATTTAACAAATGTAGAGTTTTAATCTGTAATGGCTACTTTAAAACATACCAGCCCTCACCATCTGTACCTCAATTTCCATTTGCTAAAAAAAAAAGTGACATCTGTTTAAATATCAGTAATTCCACCGCCATGAATTATTTCGGATTTGTTACTCTTTGAAGGCTCCGAAGCTCAGCCGTATGCTAAATTTCAAGGAGCAGGCATTGAAACAGCTGCTGTCCCTCCTACTTTAGGCCACATTGGTCAGCACAGATTCACAACCCAAGTATCAACAACTTTTTTTTCAGTCTGACATGGCATTTTTAGAAGGATATCTAGCGAACTTGATAAATTATTTTAGCCTTGCTCCATGGAACTTGTAGTTTCAAGCATCAATACCGTTTTAATGTCTGTGAAAAAGCATGTCACTTCTCGGCTTGACCAAGTAGCAGTAAATCAGAAAACTTGACTCATAAAACCATTGACCTGTGGGTGCACTAAACATTTATGACCAACTGTAGAATCATCAGTAAACCAATACTAAGTGTAGTGCCACTCAAAATATTTATTATTATGCTACTATTAAATTGAGCAAGTGTTGTGCTCTCTTTGGATGTATATGATTTGTTCATTTAGGAATTCATTTTGTGATTTATGTCATGTGCATGAATTACATAGAATCATTGTTTATGGCTCCCAAATTCACTTCTTTATAAAAGTATTGGTTGGAATTCTACAACTAATGTTGAAAAAATAGTACAGTGTAAAATTAATTATAATTTCAAACTTAATCAGTAGGCACCAAGTTCTGTCTTAGCCTTGATTCTTGAACTTCCGTTTTCCAAAATTTCCTATAATGCACACATCATAACTGTTAAATGTGCTGTTATTAAAGAGTCTTTGTGTATTCTTAACGTTTGGAATAAATAGCTTAGGTAAATGTTAATGTGTAATATATGATTTTATATAATATATTAATATAATTTAAAAATAAAATATTTCTAAATTGTTACATTTGTCTCACATTTAGTTTACGCTGATGCTGTTTACTAATGTTATTGTATTACTATTCACATATTCATTCATGCAATAAACAGTAACTGCAAGCTTACCATATACCAGTATGGGGCTATGTGATGTAGCTGTGAGATATAATTTTTTAAAAAATGCTGTAGAAAGTGATCAAATGCTAGAAGAGAGGAACAAATAGACTGAGCTCAGAAAAGAAGGGAATGATGACCTGCCTCTGTGAGAGTCAGAGGAAGCTGAACAGAGGTCCTGCTTTTTGAACTGAACCTGGAGGACTGAATGAAACTTGACATGAAAAGATAAGCAAGGCATTCCAGAGAGTGAAGACAGCAGGTGTGAAGTTACAGAGGTGTGAGGGGACATTGTGGATGGAAAGGAAAGCTCACTGAGGCCAGACTACACTGTGAGTTGGTTGAAAGAGTGGCAGGAAGTGACACTCTCCAATAAGTTGGGGCCCTGTTTCTGGAGGCCTTCAATTCCCAGCTAGGTTTGCAGTGTAGGTGATGAAGCGATGAAACATTTTTCAGCATGGAGTGAAGTAAATGAGCAGAGCTGTTTTAGAAAGATGATGTTGCTAAAAATGTGGAAGATGGATTAATGAGCTGGAAAAGATTGGAGGTGGGAGGTCAGCTAGGAAGCTGTTGCCAGAGGGTGTGGGCTAACAGCAGTAGTGGACATACTGGGGCGATGCCGCTGCCCACAGGGATCTGGAACAGGGAGAGAGACCGACACTGCCTGGATGAGGAACGGGGAAGGAGACACCCAGGGCCACTCTGAGGTTTCTAGCTTCATGGTGTGTGCGTTGCAGGAAATTGGGAAGAACAACATGGGCTAGATAAGAACCTCAAACAGTGGGAAAACCTGATAGAGTGGTGTCCTGGAAGCCAGGGGGGTCTCAAGCTGCAGAATGGTTCAATAAGATGACTTCTGGGAGGTTTTTATGAAAAAAAAAAAAGCCAAACAGGAAGTTAGTGTCAGATAGACCAAGATTCAAATAACAGTTCCACCACTGACTAGATGTATGACCTGGGGCAAGTTCACGACCCTCTGCTTCAGTTTCTTCATTTGTAAAATGAGACTACTTAGCAATTGGAATTGTTCAAGAAGAGATGATGCACACGAAGCACTTTCTTAGCACACAGATACGCACATAATGTAAGCTTGACCAATAAAATTGTGTTTCTGTGCAGTTCTGCATCCTACTTTTATCAGCATTACATGTATTTTCCATTTTTTAAACAAAATCTAAAGGCTGAATAATATCCCATTGTATATATGTACCACATCTTCTTTATCCATTCATCCGTCGGTGGACCTTTAGCTTGCTTCCACGTGTTGGCTATTGTGAAAACTGCTGCAATGAACATGGGATTGTAGAATATTTCAATTCTTGAATATATACCCAGGAGTGCAATTGATGGATCATAGGGTAGTTCTAATTTTTATTTTTTTAGGAACCACCATGCTGTTTTCCACAGTGGATGCACCAATTTACATTCCCAACAAGAATGTACAAGGTTTCCCTTTTCTCCACATCCAACTTATATGAGGAATGTAAACTAGTCAAACTCACAGAGGTAGAGGGTGTAATGGTGGTTGCCAGGGCCTGGGAGAGAGGAAAATGAGGAGGTATTACTCAATGGGGATAAAGTTTCAGTTATGCAAGATGAATAAGCCCTAGAGATCTGCTATATAGATCTATTGCCTATAGTTAACAATACTGTGTCGTACACTTAAAAATTTGCTAAGAGGATAGATATTAAGTGTTCTTATCACAAACTAATAATAATAAAGAAGGTGGGAGGAAACCTTTAGATGTGATGGATGTGTTTATGGCATAGATTGTAGTTGAGAGTTTCACAGGTATATACTTATCTCCAAAGTCATCAAGTTATACACATTAAATATGTACAACTTTTTGTATGTCAATCATACCTCAATAAAGTGCTTTAAAAAAAAAAACAAAAAAACCCCCAAATCTTTAGGAACCTTATTTTAATAATTATATTCTATTCCATTATATGGATGGACCAAAAACTTAAACCATTCTCTTTAAGGTTTATGTTGCTCCTGAATTTTTGCTTTGAAGGAAAAAAAAAAACCTTTCAAACAACATATTTGTGCATAAAACTTTTTTTTTATTATTCAGACTTCTCCCTAGGGTTAGAAATGAAAGTTATGGGTTACAGAGTAGGAACACTTTTAACTGCCTAATGTATGTTAGGAATTGGCTTTCCAAAGAGTTGTACCAATTTATATTCCCACTTGCACACTTATGCGGGTGATTCTTCTCCATCTCAATGACAAGAGGGGTAAATGAGAATACAGTTAGAGAGCGGGATTATTTTTCCTGTGTGCTTAGCGTTACCATCAGCTTGAAATTAAAAAGAAACTGGAGACATTAGCTAGGAAGGAGCGAATTCAGAGATTTAAGGTAAGGAGCTACATAACTCTTTTACTTCATAATATTATTTCATGATTTTGAAGGCCAATGGTACTATTATTGAAGTGGCTTGGGGGCACTTTATTGTGGGGTAACTCATAACTGAGGTCAAATGATCGTTCCACCAAGCTTAAATCTTGGTCACTATTATTACAGAAGATCATGACAAAATAGGAGCTGCTGTGCAAGAGAAATTGTCTAAGGCACAAGTCACTGAAAGAAAAACTTGAAACCGTTCTTCTCGAGTTTGAAATTTTGCTTTTGTATTTTCTTGATTGATTTGTGATAGAGGCCAAAAGATTTGTTTGTCATAAAATGTAAAAATAGATGGTGATATTCCCAATGTGATGGAAAATGGGGCATTTTAAGAATTATCCAATGGTACATTTTCATGTGAACGTGACCCTTGAAAATGTATGGTAGGAAAGATCTACGTTAGCAAACAAAAGCTTAAGATTTAGACATTTTGTGAAGGCATTTTAAAATTCGTTGTTTTTTACTTTTGCATTTCACATTTCATCTTTGCAGTCAACTTAGAAGATGTGTAAATTTAAATCAAGAGATGAGAGATTCAATTAGGCATGCTTGAAAGGTTTCAGTTCAGGTTGGCAGTTTTACTCAATTTCTTGAGCCATTCAAACCCACGTGTTGTTCTTCATTTTCAGGGTATTAACAAATGTGGGGCTTAAGACACATTTCACAAACTGATGAATATTCGTAAAGCTTCTGTGGAATAACTAGCCAAAGGAAACTAATTTTCCCTCTTGCCTGATAGACTCAAATCTATTTTATCTTAGTCAAAACATACTCTTATTACAAAAGTGTTGTTAAATAACAGACAATAAGTCAGTTTTTCAAAATCAGGAAAGTTGGTGTGTAGAGATTTGTGGTTAAGTCAACTTTACCAATAGTGTCCTATATCGAGGACTGATAGATTCTATAATTTATCTGCTGAAATGTTGATTGAAAAAATAGTTACTGGAAAATGGTTCCTGAAACAGTGTTCTATTCACTCTTGCCCAGATTGCCAGACATACTAACAAAATACATGGGCACATTTTAGCACTGGCAGAAATTCCTGATAGACACTTCATTTCCTCTGTACGATTTTTATTCGTAACATTTTCACCTATAGCTGCACTTGGTGAAAGACCTATATTTTAGGTCCCCCATATGTAATATATAACCCTTTGCTTATGGCATTATTTAATATTTTTTTTAAGGCAGAAAAGTAATACTTTCTGGTAGTCTCTACTGATCAGAGTAGTGAGGAACATTGTGCTTCTTGTAATGATCTGCTTAAAGCAGATTAATAAATATTATTGCTGAAACTAAGGATACACTGCATCTGTAGCTATTACTGTGAGCACAGCTATTTTTTTGGATAAAGCATACTCAATTTCCTGACTTTCACTACGACACCCAAGTCCCCAGTACAGCTGTGGAAACATCTCCTGATTATCGTGATGGTCCTCAGAGGGAGTACTTTTGAAAAGAATGAGAAAGAACTTCTCTAGTCATATAACACCTCTTATCTGGCAGGCACTAACGTAACCTAGATTACTATTTATGCATCGGTTTGTTAAATCACTTTCTTATTCTAGGGAGAGCACACAGGATGGACTATAGGAAATAATATGCCAATCCTGTCTCCCCGCCCCCCAGTTGGCCCCAAGACTAACCATGGCCATAGTGTTCTGGTTGATGAAGGACATTCCAGTCCAGTAACACTGGTGAGTCACGTTAATAACACTCTGACCTGCACCATGCCAACTAATTAATTCATGATTTTGTATTACTCTCAGAAAGAACGCTCTCTGGGTACATGGTTGTATCATCTTGGGAATCCTACTGAGTGAAAACATAATCTTGTATCCATTCAACTCTGTCTTTACTGGTTGTCCCGCTTTCATTCAATATCACCCCTGTCAAATCCATTTTGTTACTGCTGGATTAGTTTTCTTAAAGTGCAGATTACTTATGTTACTTACATGCCCAAATACCTTCACTGGCTCTGTGTCACCTATAGAAAAGCCCAGACTCTTGCACCTGACATTTAAGACCCCAAGCCACATGACATCAATTTGGCTATCCTAATACTTTTCCCCACGATTACCCTTTAGCACCCTACAATGCAGCACAATTGAACCATTGGTTGTTCCATGCATGTTCTGTATTTTCTGACCTCTGGATTTTTTTCTTGCTGTTTCCTCTACTCTTACCTTATCTTAAAGCTTCTTTATGCATACAAATTCAATGGTACTGCACAACGTGTCAGGCCAGATACTTACATCTGAGCTTCTTTTATCAAAATATATGCACACAGTCTAAGATAAAAATAATTAAATGTACAGAAATTGTTTAAAGAAATCGCACACTGACATTTCATTCCACTTTGATTCATTTATAACCTAGGAGTGGTATTTGCTTGAAGGAACATAAGGTAGCTTGAAACAATATAGATACAAGAAAAGACTTGCAAAATATTTCCTGGCGGTTGATGGTTTCAGCTTTAAATGAATTGATTTGATGACATCTTTATCCTGGCTTTGTGTGGCCTAATGTATTTCCTTGTTAGCATGAACATTTTTTTGGATTGTACAATATCTGTAGAGGAATTGCAGTGCTTTCACAGATTATTGAAGTAAGTTCATCACATATAGTGTTAAGCTTTGACATTTTCAAAAGGTAAATATGTTTTGACATTTCTCGATGAACAGCTCAAGTTATGAAAAGCAACCATCTTCCCTTTGTTGTTATCATATTTCCAGGCTTCATTTAAATGTATATGTACACAAATAATTCTTTTATTGGGTGGCAAATTCACTAGACTCTCAAAAGCTTATCCTGGGTGAAACAAAAGAAACAAGGGCCATTTTCTATCTTCCCACCTGTTTCAGGGAGGAAAAACCCTTGAAAGTCTTTCTTTTCAATTTTCCAGCTGAACAGCCTCAATAAGTAGTTTATGATACATCCAGGAGATGTTAATGTGGCAGGAGTGAGAAAGTAATTTAAAAATTACAGGAACCACTGACACCAGCACTTTAGCAGCCTTTCTGTCTGGTAAGCCAAGATTCTTCACTTGATCACCCCCTGCGGTGCTGCTGCCTCATAGGGGATACCTATTGTGATCTTGGAATTGCAGTTCCCATGTTACAGAAATTCAAGTCCTTCTTTTTTGTTTTCCTAACTTGGTTACATATCCTCCGAATTGGATTCCTGACCTCCAGGTGCCATTGGGATAAAGATAATAATCCTTTGGGGATATTGCCATCCATTTTTCTCTTTAAACTTTCTTGTGTGAATAAGGAGAGCATATGGTGAATAGTTACTTCACTTGGTCACCAATTGCACCTAAACTTTCAAAATAGCATGTAGGCTTTTAGCTGACCATGCCATTAAAACTGTGGAAGTCATTCAACTAATTTTGTACATGCTTGGAAACTTCACCCCCAGAGATCTTCTACTAAGAATTAGAAATGCTCAGCTAAGCTGAGTAATCACCAGGTAGTCAATTTCAATTCACATTCAGGTACAGTTCTGAAAATGTTAAGCTACAGTGCCATATATATTCCAAGAAAATATATTATGAACAGTTTAAATATAGCAAATTTAAGGTGGCTCCTGATGTGAACTACAACAGTTTGTAGTTCACAGCTGTTAGTTGAACGGCGCAGATTTGTTTTTAGAGATACATGTAATCGGTTAAACATTTGACTGCCACATTCATCTAACTGAATGCAAATGTGGGGAAGTAACATTTAGCGCACAGCAGCCAATAGATCACGTTCTAGTTTAGAGTAACCTGCTTTCCAAGTCGTACATTCAATGTTTTTGTGTTCAGTTGGATTTTTTGACAGGAGTGTGTTTTTAAGGCATATTTGTTTTACAGAGACCAAAAGAATTCTTTTGCATGATCTGATCCCTTTGTTCAGAAAACTTCTAGTCTGATTTCTCTTTGTGGGTTTTAAGAGCTTTCACCTTTTGGCTCATAGAGGCCTATGTCTTTTTTCTTTAAACCAAACGCTGCTCTAGTCAGTCCACTTGGCTTCTTGTCTAGGTTTGTATGTGGAGACCAAAATAACGACTTTAACGTAAGGATGCGCTCCCAGCCTCAACACACATGCATGAGTCTCAGCTCCTGCACCATCTCTACTCTATGAGGCATCAAAAGCTCAGACTCCTTTTGTGTCATTGATCTGCCAAATTTAGTGTGTTGCCTTCATCCACGTATACCAGGATGGTATATATATCACCGTGTGGCTCTTTCAGCCAGAGAGAAGGGGATAAGGGGCAAGTGAAGAGGCATTTCTTCTTTCTAAGGGCATGATCTGGAAGTTTCATATAGCACTTCTGCTCACATCTTACTGGCCCAAACTGAGGCATACATCTATATGGAGTTTCAAGAGACGCTGGGAAATACAGTCTTTATTTGTGATAGGCATGTTCCCTAATAAATATTCTATTACATGAAGAAAGGAAAACAGATATTGGGGAATAGTCTCTTTGCTCCCCTTCCCATGTCTGGCTCAAAACGGGCTCTTCTTACTTGGATGTTCAAATTTACCATTCCTCTTTTCTCCTTATCATTTTCTTCTTTTGCTCATTCATTTGGATAAAATGTAATTACTTCTGTGAAACTTTAATTTTTACTAGTCTCATTGGCTTATTCCAAATAACCTTAAGTTCTAAGTTCTATTAGTTTTCAGGTATTTTGTTGTTATTGTCTCTTTGGCAGTATTTGTGTGGTTCATTTGACACTAATTGTCTCGTGTTGCCATTAGATGTTAAAAATTACTTTTTCATCTCACAGTGACTAGAGTTGGAATTCAGTAAGTGTTAACTTAACAAAATCAGAGTTTTGGCAACATATAACAAGCTTGTCAAGATGGCGCTAAGATCAACTTTTGGTTGGTGAGAGCTGCCCTGTCACCATTTTTTATGTATTTATACAACACTTTTCCAGAGTTGAATATTTGTTGTCACCATTACACCGTGAGTCAATGTAATAAATCTTATTCATTAATCATTTATATACTGTAGTTCTCACACCCTCTTACCCAAATTTGCATGTATTATTCTTAACGGGTTTTCTACTGTTTTATTGTAAGAGAACAACTGGGCCAAACATCTTGTTTTTTCCATTTTTGAAACATTGCTGATCTTTATTACAATGTTCTGTCAGTGCTCCAAAAGACACAACTAATGCTCTGAACTGGCACTTTTGGTTTTCTCTGTAGTACATTCTTGATTAGAAAATGCATCAGTCAGGGTCTCAGCAGGA